TGTGCTGGCGACACGCCCGCATAGAGCATGGCTCTTTGTGGATGACCTACTGGCCGCATTGCGACGACCAGCGTCGCATGAGCAACTGGCTTTGATCGTAACCTTCTTTGCCAGCAGCCCCTGTTTCGTGGAAAAAAGTGAAATTCCAGGACAGCCTGACCTGGTGCGGCTGGTGCATAAATTTTGCATATGAGACCATAGAGTTGATGCCAGAAAAAACTGCAAAATTGAAGGAACAGTTGCACGGCCTTCTCAAATCCGGCCGCTTGGGCCTGCTTATATGGGCTACCAGCATAAACGTAGAGTTGAGGCTGGCTTGCGCCGCTATATTCCGATTTGCAGTCGTCCTCCAGGTGCTAACCGCACCGGCGCAAGGCATATTCATGCCGCCGGGCTCCAAAGTTTTGGTTTGGAGTTCAAGGGCGCTCAAATTCGAAGCCTCAACGCGGTCTGGCTCGCATCGCAGATCCATCCACACGCACGTTTTCAAACCTAGCAAAGCTAACTTGGAGTGGCTCTTGCAGTGTCGCGTGCCCGCTTCGAGGTAAGCCCGTTCTCGCATGCAAAGCCGCAGCCGACGCGTGCGCCGAAGGCACTACCGTCGGCGTAGGTGGATGGTGTATTTCCGGATCCGTGACATGGTTTGCGGAAACCTGGGATTACGCTGACGTCCAAGGAGTCCAAGCGGAGTGGCCTTGCGTTACCAAAGAAGCTCAACACTATATAGCGTGCTTCGAGGCCTGATGCACAGCTGCCGACGCTGGCGCAAACAAGCTGTTCACCACCGCTTGGCCCCTACAAATTTTCGTGCAGCTCGTTGCTGCGTGGGCCCATAAGCATAAATGGTCCATAATGGCCTCGCATATACCAGGCGAGTGCAGCACCTGGGCCGATCAGCTCTCTCCGCTTTTTCAGCACTTGCTTCAGGCCGCATGATGTCTGGCCCCATAAGTCAGCGTTGACTTTACATCCGCATGATGCACCCTGCCGCCCAGAGCACAGGAACGCCTTGCAACCACACTGAAGAGGGGGCGATTTCCTTTCTGGTTGCTCAGAGCCACCGCGTCAGATGCAGGAGAAGGGGCTGGACACGCGTTGTCAGCTTGCCTGCATCTTTGGGCCCTTTGAGCGACACTATGGAAAAACAAGCGGTGCGTTCGCCTTCACGGCTGCCTTGCTTTTTCCTGGCTGGCCCCCCTGTTATTGGCTTGAAGCACTGAACAGGATTCTAACGTTTGGTGTTTTAATCCTGTTTGAATCTTTGGCCGCGTTGCCATTTCTCTTTCAACGACCTTTTTTGAAGCCCTCCCTCCCACCCTCAGCATGGGCGTGTCTTGCTTGGGCACGAGATTTGAGGTTGGCGTAGTGTATAGTACTCGGCCCCACTATCAGGTTGCACGTGTTGCATCCTGATCGCATGGTGCACGCTTTGCACCTAGCCAGTCATACTTTCCCTCCGTCCGTTTCACGCCCCTGAGGTAAAATACCTCGCGCGCAGGTCGAACACGCGTTGTTGACCGGGGGGTTAGATATCAGGCCCCGCATCAGCTGCAGGAGAAGGGGCTGGACACGCGTTGTCAGCTTCCCTGCATCTTTGGGCCTGTACCTTTGAGCACCATGGAAAAAGAAGCGGTGCGTTCGCCTTCACACGGTTGCCTTGCTTTTTCCTGGCTTGTCCCCCTGTTATTGGCTTGAAGCAGTGAACAGGATTCCAACTGCATCAGAGTAGATCCACACCAAGGCCCTACGAGGTGTACATTCCGTTCCGGGGTCACGTGGACCCCTTTCTTTACCACCCCACCCACCCCCACCCCTGCTTGTTTTATGCGCGCGCTCGCGTGGGCAGTTGGACGCACTTACCTTTTTGCGCACGGCCAGCTGGCGTGCGCGCGTTGGCGCCCTGCAACATGCGCCGTGCTACCGATTGTTTTACCCGCACGCACAGGCCGTTGCGCGCACATGCTTTTTTGAGGGCAGTCCTGCCGCTTGAGCTGGCATGCCTGCGCTGCCCTCGAACAGCCGTCCGCTCTTGTTGCGTTTGTCAACGCACGTGCTTCTTTGCTCAGGCTCTTTTGCCTGAGCTGGCATGGATGCGCCAGCGCTGTTGAGGATTCACGATGGCGCCGTCACTTTCATTTCGTCCATCACTCTCTCAAGTCCATGGCGTGGCAGGTTTTTAGGAGAGGCATGAATCGTGTAGGACGGTCACGGTCCAACATCAATCCTCAATCATACCAATGGTAGTAGTCCTTTTTGCTTTGTAATGCAATGTCACTACGGATGATAGGTTAGGATTTGGGATCCCCCATTTTGAACAACCTAGTTTGGCAAGGATGTGTTTACAAGAGTTTCGAAAGATTTCCGTCGGACCATCGTTCGGTGTCGGTGCGAAGTGTGGGTTATATGGGATGGTCATGAAACCGTCGGCAGGGAATTCAGGAGCCGATTGCAAAATCGGACGCCGATCTCGGGCTTCAGCTTACACACTGCCAGCTGGACAGTTGAACAAATCATCAATCACAGGGGATGAATCAAGACCTCTTCTTGCGTGTGTCCAAGGACACCCGCTCATTTATATGCTTTTGGCTCTCAGGCCTGTGTTTTGCAACTTGAATGCAGGCAGAAGATTTTTTTTGTGCCCTTGAAGGTGCATGTTCACTTGCCCAGTGGGAATGGTTGTTCCATGCAGCTTCACCTGCGCTGCCCATCAGCAAACAACATTCCGATGAGCAAGGCCGGGTTGCAAGATCGCAGCGTATGCGACTAAAACAACGTAATGAATGTACGAATTTTGGTATCGCAATACCAAATTTAGTGTGTTTCCGTAACGTTTGATTTGTTTGCACTCCATACTGCAAAGCGATTCTTGTATATTCTGGTCTTCAATACTAAAGTCGTACTTGGACCCATTTTCCCGACCTGCAGTTCCAAAGCTTCCATTTGTGCTTTCCAGATGGTTCATTCTGGACCGGGGCTTCCCTCTTTTCCCGACCGTGAGAACTCCAAAATTTCTATGTGCTTTGACTGGCAGAACAAGCCCCCTTTCTTGAAACCGAAAGTTCACCCAAGAGGGTTTATTTGTAGTATGGAATGTAAAGAAGTCAAATCCTCTCGAAAAAGTAATAGATATAGGACTGGCAAGTAGTATTCTCAGGGCTCGTTTTCCCGACCGCGTGCAACTCCGAAGTTTCTATCTTTGGGCTTTCCATGAGAGGGTTCATTCTGGACTGGCAGAGCTACCCCCTTCTCGAAACCGAAATTCCTTCCAGGTCTTGTGTTTGTATGGATTTTAATCAGTTCCTTTCTGTTTTTAAAGTAATACATATAGAATTGGCAATACTAAATTTAGTACTGGCACTACTACATTCCCTATTGCACATACTAAGTTGTTTTGGCAATACTAAACTTGTTGTTGTTTGCTATGGTAGCGTTTTGTTGGCCTGTGACATTGACGGGCAATACAAAAATCAGAGCTGGCAATACTAAATAATATTCCGTGGACTCGCCATGTTGCATTTTCAATGTTTCTATCTTTGTGCTTGGTTTGCTGCTTGGTTCGCTGCTTGGTTTGGTGGTTTTGGCTGAACTGGTTGACAATCCGCCTTGGGTTCAATGCTTACGGACCCCTTAAGCAGAACTCTTGGTAAATCTGGGTTTTGTTGTGAGCGAATAAGGTGTTTGCAACTTGGATGTGGTGGTTTTCGGCATACCCGGAGAACCCTTGGGTGCTGTGTAAAAAACAAATCGCATGAGGCCTACACCGCCGAACGTGCCGCTGCTGATTTTGGCAGCCGGCTGAGTCTCCGCGACCTGAGAGCATATTGGTGTGCGTCATTTGTTGGGGACCTTGGCTTTAAATGGAAATTTGAAAGCAAGACCAGAACTCGAGGGATCCGCTTTTGACACATACTCTTATGTTGCATCCTACTCGCTTGTTCTGTGTGGAAACCCTCAAATGCACCAATGTACACTCACGGTGATTCAGCCTTTGCAGCAAGGTTTGCACGCACCAATGAGAGGGCTGAAATGAAAACTCAAGGGGCAAAAGTTTCCAGCACCAGTTTTTTGGTTTTCTGAAACTAGGGCTCCGCTGCGTAGCTTAGCGATGGGCGCGAAATTCGGGTTCTGCAGCTCTTTGCAGCGACGGGCCATAAAAGTGTCGAGTATGGCAGTCTAGTTTTGCCCCCCCGCCTAGTCCAAGTGCCTGTTTTGTTGCCTCAATGTGGCTGTTTTGATGCGGCAAAATCGAATCGATATCGCTTGACTTGGCACTGGTAGGCACGTGCAACAAGAAGTCCCCATCAGTCACCTATGGTTTACCGTGCAATCAAAACCTTCTACCAACGGTAAATAAACTAAAGTTGAGTCAAGTATGGTATCCCTGGGCGCGAGGCAATCTCACCTCCTTTGAGTTCATGCACACTTACGCCCCGCTTTCTTTGGACTGGATTCTGGTGGCCACATGTTTGATGAGTCGCTTGGGCTGACCGTTCTCGCTGAAGACGACTGCGATGAATATGAGGATGGCCAGAAGCAGTTTCTCGCTCAGTTTGTGGCTGCCAAACCTCGTTGTGGTGGCCTCCCGAACACCAAAGCAAACTTCGATTGTGGAAAGCTCCGCGAGACAATGTGGCGCAGCATGCCGGGAATGCACAGTGGGACCCGCTTGGTTAGGTCAGTCCTTGTGCTTCAACCTTAGCGTTGGAGAGCTGTGCAGTAATGCGCCCAGTCTGGCCAAAGGCAACTCGCGCTTTGTCGCATCATGGACCTGCAGAGATGACTCCTCCTGAGTAGGTGTACCTTCCAGTCTCCCCACACCCAGGCTGGTATTTAATCTTAGTGCGGACACGCAGCTCGCGCAGGCCGTTACGCATGGTACGCTGAAGCCTCCCTTGCAGCTGGTCTTTTCAGGAGGCTTTTCTGACTTTTCAGAATCTCACCTCCTTTGAGTTCATGCACACTCACGCCCCGCATTCTTCAGACTGGATTCTGGTGGCTACATGTTTGATGAGTCGCTTGGGCTGACCGTTCTCGCTGAAGACGACTGCGATGAATATGAGGATGGCCAGAAGCAATTTCTCGCTCAGTTTGTGGCTGCCAAACCTCGTTGTGGTGGCCTCCCGAACACCAAAGCGAACTTCGATTGTGGAAAGCTCCGCGAGACAATGTGGCGCAGCATGCCGGGAATGCACAATGGGACCCGCTTGGTGAGGTCAGCCTTTTTGTTCAACCTTAGCGTTGGAGAGCTGCGCAGAGCTGCGCCCAGTCTGGCCAAAGGCAACTCGCATCATGGAACTGCAGAGATGACTTCTCCTGAGTAGGTGTACCTTCCAGTCTCTCCACACCCAAGCTGGCATTGAATTTTAGTGCGGACACGCAGCTCGCGCAGGCCGTCAAGCATGGTACGCAAAGACTCCCTTGCAGCTGGTCTTTTCAGGAGGCTTTACTTTTCAGAACTCCAGCCTTCCCGGGGCCCTGTTGCACTGAGAGCCTCCGCGGTCTCAAAAATCGGGCCTGCCGAGAGCTCAAAGTCAAACTCCTCGCTGAGGGGCAAGGTGTCGTTGGGCAAGGTGTGTGATTCGGGCCACTGCACCGAACTCGCAGACGGCCGGATTTTGAAGACGCATTGTCAGCGCTGGACCGCGAAGTTCGCTTGCCTGAGTCGGCACGGCTGTGACCTGAGCATTTAGTGACCAGCAATCACGGCGCACAACTGCTGGCTGCAGCGCTGTGGGTAGCTTGCAAGGCCCCAGTCCATAGCCCGTCGACCGTGATATCAGGTAGGCAGGAGCTCACCCATGCTGGATGTGACATGAGGTCAGCTCCGCCCTATGTCGCTTTTTCCCAGATACTGTGCATGTTGTTTGGGGCAAGGCCATTGACAGTCTAATTTCGTGATGCCCCAATCGCCTGTCAAGCTTGTTGGCGAGGCATTTCAATCAATCAAAGTTTTGTAGCTGCCAACTGCGACAGTGCTTAAAGCAAGTTTTGTGAACCAGAATGGAGAGTCACCAAGAGGGTACGCGCCAAAAGCAGCTAGAGCTGTCACTTTGCCGTCGCCTTTGGCTTTGTGCGACGCCGGTTCGTCCGTTCAAAAGCCAAAGCAAATAAAAAGCAGCAGCCCACCTACTGTGCCTTCGCCTTTGGCTGATGCGACGCTGATTGAAGTCGATTTTAGAGCCAAAGCAAGAAACAACAGCCGCCCCACAACAATGCGGCCCGCTGGTCCAAGCAATCTCAACCTCTTGCGAGTTCATGCACACTCACGCCCCGCTTTCTTCGGACTCGATTCTGGTGGCCACATGTTTGATGAGTCGCTTGGGCTGACCGTTCTCGCTGAAGACGACTGCGATGAATATGAGGATGGCCAGAAGCAATTTCTCGCTCAGTTTGTGGCTGCCAAACCTCGTTGTGGTGGCCTCCCGAACACCAAAGCGAACTTTGATTGTGGAAAGAGTCGGGTAACAACCCCGCTTCTTGCAAGACAATCACGGGTCCTGGAAGGGACAAAACCAAAGCAACCTTTCAGCCTGACCGTCGACATCTTAGGCAAAGCCACAAGGTCAAAGTCAAAGCTGCTCGCTGCTGGGCAGACGATCGGGTAGTGCAGACTTGTTTGTCAACGCTGGATCATGCTTAATCCATGTGAGTCCGCGTCAAAGCTCATCTCACCAACCGTTTGGTCTTGCCCCGCACAGCTTCAGACTGCACAATTTTGCACCTGGCTGCAAATAGGCTTTGACCGCTCCCATGATGCTGAGTCCCGGAACCCCTTTGTTCGTCAACGCTGGATCATGCTTAATCCATGTGAGTCCGCGTCAAAGCTCATCTCACCAACCGTTTGGTCGCGCCCCGCACAGCTTCAGACTGCAAGCTTTTGCACCTGGCTGCAAATAGGCTTTGGCCGCTCCCATGATGCTGAGACCAGTGTCAAGATCCTAGCTTGACCCGCCATGTGCGACGTTTCCTGCAAGAGACGTGAAAAGACAAAGTGGCCTTGGATTAGTCGGGTTACAACCTCGCTTCTTGTAAGACAATTACTGGTCCGGGAAGGGACAAAACCCAAGCAAGCTTTCAGCTCGACAGTTGACATTTTAGGCAACGCCAAAAGGTCAAGGCCAAAGCTGCTTGCGGCCAGGCAGGAGATCCGATAGTGGACATGTACATGACCGCTCCCATGATGCTGAGACTGGTGTGAAGATCCTAGCTTGACCCGCCATGTGACGTTTCATGAGACGTGAAAAGACAAAGTGGCTTTGGATTAGTCGGGTTACAACCCCGCTTCTTGTAAGACAATCACTGGTCCGGGAAGGGACAAAACCCAAGCAAGCTTTCAGCTCGACAGTTGACATTTTAGGCAAAGCCACTAGGTCAAAGTCAAATCTGCTCGCTGCGGGGCAGACGATCGGGTAGTGCAGACTTGTTTGTCAACGCTGGATCATGCTTAATCCATGTGGCTTTTGCACCTGGCTGCAAATGAGCTTTGACCACTCCCATGATGCTGAGACCGGTAGCCCCTTGGTCATTCGCGGATAGGCAGTGATGTCAAGATCCTAGCTTGACCTGCAATGTGCGACGTTTCCCTGAAAAGACCTGAAAAGAGCAAGTGCAACCCCGTTTCTTGCAAGACAATCACGGGTCCTGGAAGGGACAAAACCAAAGCAACCTTTCAGCTTGACCGTCGACATCTTAGGCAAAGCCACAAGGTCAAAGTCAAAGCTGCTCGCTGCCGGGCAGACGATCGGGTAGTGCAGACTTGTTGGTCAACGCTGGATCATGCTGAGCCCATGTGAGTCCGCGTCAAAGCTCACCTCTACCAACCGTTTGGTCTTGCCCCGCACAGCTTCAGACTGCAAAATTTTGCACCTGGCTGCAACTAGGCTTTGACCGCTCCCATGATGCTGAATCCCGGAACCTTTTTGGTCATTCGCGGATAGGCAGTGATGTCAAGATCCTAGCTTGACCTGCAATGTGCGACGTTTCCCTGAAAAGACCTGAAAAGGTCAAGTGGCCTTGGGTGAGTCGGGTTACAACCCCGTTTCTTGCAAGACAATCACGGGTCCTGGAAGGGACAAAACCAAAGCAACCTCTCAGCTTGACCGTCGACATCTTAGGCAAAGCCACAAGGTCAAAGTCAAAACTGCTCGCTGCTGGGCAGACGATCGGGTAGTGCAGACTTGTTGGTCAACGCTGGATCATGCTGAGCCCATGTGAGTCCGCGTCAAAGCTCACCTGTTTGGTTTTGCCCCGCACAGCTTCAGACTGCAACAATTTGCACCTGGCTGCAACTAGGCTTTGACCGCTCCCATGATGCTGAGTCCCGGAACCCCTTTGGTCATTCGCGGATAGGCAGTGATGTCAAGATCTTAGCTTGACCTGCAAAGTGCGACATTTCCCTGAAAAAACCTGAAAAGAGCAAGTGGCCTTGGGTGAGTCGGGTTACAACCCCGTTTCTTCCAAGACAATCACGGGTCCTGGAAGGGACAAAACCAAAGCAATCTTTCAGCTTGACAGATGACATTTTAGGCAAAGCCACAAGGTCCGAGTCAAAGCTGCTCGCTGCTGGGCAGACGATTGGGTAGTACTCCCATGATGCTGAGTCCCGGAACCCCTTTGGTCATTCGCGGATAGGCAGTGATGTCAAGATCCTAGCTTGACCTGCAATGTGCGACGTTTCCATGAAAAGACCAGAAAAGAGCAAGTGCAACCCCGTTTCGTGCAAGACAATCACGGGTCCTGGAAGGGACAAAACCAAAGCAACCTTTCAGCTTGACTGATGACATTTTAGGCAAAGCCACAAGCTCCAAGTCAAAGCTGCTCGCTGCTGGGCAGACGATCGGGTAGTGCAGACTTGTTTGTCAACGCTGGATCATGCTTAATCCATGTGAGTCCGCGTCATAGCTCACCTCTACCAACCGTTTGGTCTTGCCCCGCACAGCTTCAGACTGCAAATTTTTGCACCTGGCTGCAAATAGGCTTTGACTGCTCCCATGATGCTGAGTCCCGGAACCCCTTTGGTCATTCGCGGATAGGCAGTGATGTCAAGATCCTAGCTTGACCTGCAATGTGCGACGTTTCCCTGAAAAGACCTGAAAAGAGCAAGTGGCCTTGGGTGAGTCGGGTTACAACCCCGTTTCTTGCAAGACAATCACGGGTCCTGGAAGGGAAAAAAAACAACCTCTCAGCTTGACAGATGACATGTTAGGCAAAGCCACAAGGTCCGAGTCAAAGCTGCTCGCTGCTGGGCAGACGATTGGGTAGTGCAGACTTGTTCGTCAACGCTGGATCATGCTTAATCCATGTGAGTCCGCGTCAAAGCTCATCTCACCAACCGTTTGGTCTTGCCCCGCACAGCTTCAGACTGCAAGCTTTTGCACCTGGCTGCAAATAGGCTTTGACCGCTCCCATGATGCTGAGACCAGTGTCAAGATCCTATCTTGACCCGCCATGTGCGACGTTTCCTGCAAGAGACGTGAAAAGACAAAGTGGCCTTGGATTAGTCGGGTTACAACCTCGCTTCTTGTAAGACAATTACTGGTCCGGGAAGGGACAAAACCCAAGCAAGCTTTCAGCTTGATAGTCGACATTTCAGGCAAAGCCACAAGGTCAAAGTCAAAGCTGCTCGCTGCGGGGCAGACCGACGGGCTAAAGCAGTACAAGCTTCCAAAGAATGTGCAATGCAAGTTGCGGCAACTTGTTGAATCCAGGCCCAAAGGAGGTTGTGAGCTGGGACCTTTCCTCTCTTAGTGGCCTTCTGGTTCAAAGCCGACGCTTGTTTTGCGGAATCTTCCTGGATCGTTCCGGTGGCGCCAGACTGGACTTTCCGCTGGCCTGTATGGGAAGTCAACGTGTTTCCGCTTAACTGGCGCAGTTCCTTTCCAGCCACGGCAGCTGGCAAGTTGACGCCACTTCGATGTTGAAGGGCCCTTCCACCACGGTAGTTGCTTCATGCATCACTCGATTTGCCATGATGCTGACCAAATGGCAGATCTTGGCTTTTTGGCAGAGGGGCAGCGATGTCAAAGTCCCAGCTTGACCTGCAAAGAGGGAGGTTTCAGGAAGAGCAGTGAACCGAGGAAGTGGCCTTTGATTAGTCGGGTTGCAACCCGAATGTGCAATGCAAGTTGCAGCAACTTGTTGAATCCAGGCCCAAAGTCCAAAGGCAGCCTATTTCCTGCGGTGTACTAAGAATAGCCGGGAACCGTGCTTGGAGCCGCATGGAAAGCCCGAGAGGCTGCAACGCCCTTGGCAGGTGAAGCATTCCACCTGAGGTTGTGAGCTGGGACCTTTCCTCTCTTGGTGGCCTTCTGGTTCAAAGCCGACGAATCTTCCTGGATCGTTCCGGTGGCGCCAGACTGGACTTTCCGCTGGCCTGTATGGGAAGTCACCGTGTTTCCGCTTAATTGGCGCAGTTTGTTTCCAGCCACGGCAGCTGGCAAGTTGACGCCATTTCGTTGTTGAAGGGCCCTTCCACCATGGCAGTTGCTTCATGCATCACTCGATTTGCCATGATGCTGACCAAATGGCAGATCTTGGCTGTTTGGCAGAGGGGCAGTGATATCAAGGTCCCAGCTTGAGCTGCAATGTGCGACGTTTTTCGAAAGAGATGTGAGCACAGGAAGTGCGCTTTTCAACACCCTCTCTTGGTGGCCTTCTGGTTCAACTGGACCTTCCGCTGGCCTGTATGGGCACTGACCGTGTTTCCTCTCAATTGGCGCAGTTTCTTTCCAGCCACGTCAGCTGGCAAGTTGACCATTTCGATGTTGAAGGGCCCTTCCACCATGGTAGTTGCTTCATGCATCACTCGATTTGCCATGATGCTGATCAAATGGCAGGTCTTGGCTTTTTGGCAGAGGGGCAGTGTCAAGGTCCCTGTGCGACGTTTCCCGGAAGAGACGTGAACACAGGAAGTGCGCTTTTCAACACCCTCTCTTGGTGGCCTTCTGGTTCAAAGCCGACCTGCAATGTGTGGCCTTTGGTTAGTCGGGGTACAGCCCCGCTTCTTGCGAGACAATCACTGGTCCGGGAAGGGACAAAACCAAAGCAATCTTTCAGCTTGATAGTCGACATTTCAGGCAAAGCCACAAGGTCAAAGTCAAAGCTGCTCGCTGCGGGGCAGACCGACGGGCTAAATCAGTACATGCTTCCAAAGAATGTGCAATGCAAGTTGCGGCAACTTGTTGAATCCAGGCCCAAAGTCCAAAGGCAGCCTCCGGGAACCGTGCTTGGAGCCGCATGGGAAGGCCAAGAGGCTGCAACGCAGTCCGGCAAGCTTGGCAGGTGAAGCATTCCAGCTGAGGTTGTGAGCTGGGACCTTTCCTCTCTTAGTGGCCTTCTGGTTCAAAGCCGACGCTTGTTTTGCGGAATCTTCCTGGATCGTTCCGGTGGCGCCAGACTGGACTTTCCGCTGGCCTGTATGGGAAGTCACCGTGTTCCGCTTAATTGGCGCAGTTTGTTTCCAGCCACGGCAGCTGGCAAGTTGACGCCACTTCGATGTTGAAGGGCCCTTCCACCACGGTAGTTGCTTCATACATCACTCGATTTGCCATGATGCTGACCAAATGGCAGGTCTTGGCTTTTTGGCAGAGGGGCAGCGATGTCAAAGTCCCAGCTTGACCTGCAATGTGCGACGTTTCTCGGAAGAGATGTGAACACAGGAAGTGCGCTTTTCAACACCCTCTCTTGGTGGCCTTCTGGCTCAAAGCCGACGCTGGTTTTGCGGAATCTTCCTGGATCATTCAGGTGGCGCTAGACTGGACCTTCCGCTGGCCTGTATGGGCACCGACCGTGTTTCCTCTCAATTGTCGCAGTTTCTTTCCAGCCACGTCAGCTGGCAAGTTGACCATTTCGTTGTTGAAGGGCCCTTCCACCATGGTAGTTGCTTCATGCATCACTCGATTTGCCATGATGCTGACCAAATGACAGGTCTTGGCTTTTTGGCAGAGGGGCAGTGATGCCAAGGTCCCAGCTTGAGCCGCAATGTGCGACGTTTTTCGAAAGAGACGTGAACACAGGAAGTGCGCTTTTCAACACCCTCTCTTGGTGGCCTTCTGGTTCAAAGCCGACCTGCAATGTGTGGCCTTTGGTTAGTCGGGTTACAGCCCCGCTTCTTGCGAGACAATCGCTGGTCCGGGAAGGGACAAAACCAAAGCAATCTTTCAGCTTGATAGTCGACATTTCAGGCAAAGCCACAAGGTCAAAGTCAAAGCTGCTCGCTGCGGGGCAGACAACGCTGGATCATGCTTAATCCATGTGCGTCCGTGTCAAAGCTTATCTCTACCAACCGTTTGGTCTTGCCCCTCACAGCTTAAGACTGCAAGCTTTGCGCCTGGCTGCCAAAAGGGTGTGACCGCTCCCATGATGCTGAGTAGCGGTAGGCCTTTGGTCATTTGCAGCGGGGCAGTGATGTCCAGGTTTGCAGGGCTTGGTATGAAAGCCATTCTCTATGCAAGGTGTGTGGTTTGGTTGGGCCTTGAACTCGGCCCTGGGTCGCGGAGGGCTTGGTGCGGCGTTGTCGTGTTTCCCTTCCAAATAGGCGAAATGAGAGAGTAATCGCTGTCTTGCAGGGGGACTGACCGCGTCCAAAGCGCTGCAATGCTTCATTTGCTCAAATGGGGCTGAGCACCTGTCTAACAGAGGCCTTCCGTAGGCACTCTCAATCCAAATCACCAACGATGCAGGCATTGAGATTTTGTGCCGACGCGCAGCTGGCGCAGGCCGTCATGCGTGGTACGCATGGAAACGTCTTTCAATCTTCAGCCAAAGCCTTCCTTGCGACTTATTTCAGAAGGCTTTGCCTTTCAGAGCTCCAGCCTTCTTGGGCTATGGGAGCCTCCGCGGTCTGAAATATCGGGCCTGCGGAGAGCCCAAAGTCAACCTCCTCGCTGACAGGCAACATATTCTTTGCGCAAGGTGTGTGATTCGGGCCACTGCGCCGAACTCGCGGATAGTCGGATGTTGAAGACTTTCTGTCAACGCTGGGCCGCACAATTTGCATGCCGGAGTCGGCGCAGCTGTGACCTGAGCATTTGGTGAGCAGCAATCACGGCGAACAACGGCTGGCTGCAGCACTGTGGGTAGCTTGTAAGGCCCCAGTCCATGGCGCCTCGACCGTGATATCAGGTAGGCAAGAGCTCACCCATGCTGGATTTGACGTGAGGTCAGCTCCGTCCTATTTCTCATTTTCCTAGATACTGTGCCTGTTGTTTGGGGGCAAGGCCGTTAACAGTATGATGTCGTGATGCCCCAATCGCCTGTCAAGTTCGTTGGCAAAGTATTTCAATCAATCAAAGACTTGTAGCCGCCAACTGCGACAGTGCTTAGAGCAAATTCCGTGAACCAGAATGGAGGGCCACCAAGAGGGTACGCGCCAAAAACAGATAGAACTGTCACTTTGCCGTCGCCCTTGGCTTTGCGCGACGCCGGTCCAAGTTTCTTGAAGAACCAAAGCAAATAAAAAGCAGCAGCCGACTCACTTTGCCTCCTCCTTTGGCTGATGCGACGCTGATTGAAGTCGATTTCAGAGCCAAAGCAAACAAGAAACAACAGCCGACCCACAACAATCCGCTTAAGGCCCGAATAGCTCCCACTGGCTGAGAAAGGACTTCCAAAGAATGTGCAATGCAAGTTGGTGCAACGTGTTGAATCCAGGAGCAAAGTCCAAAAGCAGCCTATTTCCTGCGGTGTAATAAGTATAGCGGGGAACCGTGCCTGGAGCCGCGTGGGAACCCCAAGAGGCTGCAAAGCAGTCCGGCAAGCTTGGCAGGTGAAGCATTCCACCTGAGGTTGTGAGCTGGGACCTTGAATATCCTCTCTTGGTGGCCTTCTGGTTCAAAGCCGACGCTTGTTTTGTAAAATCTTCCTGAATCGTTCAAGTCGCGCCAGGCTGAGCTTTCCGCTGGCCTCTATGGGAACCCACCGTGTTTCCGCTTAATTGGCGCATTTCGATGTTGAAGGGCCCTTCCACCATGGTAGTTGTTTCATGAATCACCCGATTTGCCATTTGCCATGATGCTGACCAAATGGCAGGTGTTGGCTTTTTGGCAGAGGGGCAGTGATGTCAAGGTCCTAGCTTGAGCTGCAATGTGCGACGTTTCTCGGAAGAGATGTGAACACAGGAAGTGCGCTTTTCAACACCCTCTCTTGGTGGCCTTCTGGTTCAAAGCCGACGCTGGTTTTGCGGAATCTTCCTGGATCGTTCAGGTGGCGCCAGACTGGACTTTCCGCCGGCCTGTATGGGAACTCACCATGTTTCCTCTCAATTGGTGCAGTTTCTTTCCAGCCGCGGCAGCTGGCAAGGTTTGCTAGGTGCCCAGTCCCGTGATGCGGGGCAGCGATGTCAAAGTCCCAGCTTGACCTGCAAAGAGGGAGTTTTCAGGAAGAGCAGTGAACCGACGAAGTGGCCTTTGATTAGTCGGGTTGCAACCCCAATGCCTGGTCCGGGAAGGGACAAAACCAAAGCAACCTTTCAGCTTGACCGTCGACATCTTAGGCAAAGCCACAAGGTCAAGGTCAAAGCTGCTCGCTGCAGGGCAGAAGATGGGATAGTGCAGACTTGTTTGTCCACGCTGGATCATGCTGAACCCAAGCTCATCTCTACCAACCGTTTGGGCTTTTCCTGCATAGCTTCAGACTGCAAGCTTTTGCACCTGGCTGCAAATAGGCTTTGACTGCTCCCATGATGCTGAGTCCCGGAACCCCTTTGGTCATTCGCGGATAGGCAGTGATGTCAAGATCCTAGCTTGACCTGCAATGTGCGACGTTTCCCTGAAAAGACCTTAAAAGAGCAAGTGCAACCCCGTTTCCTGCGAGACAATCACGGGTCCTGGAAGGGACAAAACCAAATCAATCTTTCAGCTTGACAGTTGACATTTCAGGCAAAGCCAGAAGGTCAAAGTCAAAGCTGCTCGCTGCGGGGCAGACGATCGGATAGTGCAGACTTGTTGGTCAAGTACCGGTCGGTCTTTGGTCCTTTGCAGAGAGGCAGGGATGGCAAGAAGG